GTAAATTTGGCAAAATCGACTTTTGTAACATGCATGAAAAACATTAATTATCCAATAGTTTCTTGGTGAAATAAATACTAAACACAAGAGAAGTTTCTTGTTACCATCTTTCTAGTTTTTATATTCTATTAAAAGAATTGATAATTAAATAATTCATAAGAGACCTTGAGATTTATTCAATTTTGCTTCTTTGTTGATTACTCTTTTTAATTTTTGATTCTAAATTAAATTATTTAATTTATGATTCATGATTTTATGGTATACCATATGTGAATTTTCTTGATCAAGGCATTGAATGGTCATGAGTAAAAAATGGACATGGAATACTTGCTAGCCTTGATTTTAAATCTTTTATAGTTTTATTATATTTTGGTGAGACCATGGTTATCAAATCAAAATGATAAAATTTTTTAGAATTATTTTTAGACATAAAAGAAATTATGAATTTATAAATCTTAAAAAAAAAAAGCAAGTATATGTGTTCTTATCATAAAATCATATTTTATGGTCCATATTCCATGATTGCATTTTAATGACAAGAGAATAATGCATGATTCATATTATTTAATTTGTATAATATTGTTTCAGTAAAGAATAAACATATTATCTATGATAACTTCAATTTAATTAGAGAAGTTATATAATTCTTTGTAACTAGTTAGAATGCTTTCTATTTGTTGGGTGGAAAATTTCATACATTTTATAATTTGGATATAGATTTTATAGTATTGTATGGTCATATATGAAATTATATATGATTGTTCTTGATAACATGAACCATGGTGGATATGGTTTTAGTATCCACAATAAAAATAATTTTATAGGCATCCAATAGTTGGCATGAAAATCTCAAAAAAAGACTATATAAAGCATGAGTTTACTAAAAAAAAATAATTTTTAGGGTGATTATATTTGGCATCATACTTATTGATGCATACTCTCGTATTGAGTTAAAATAAAAGTTTTATGGAAAAGAAATATTATGATATAGAATATATATTAGTTATCTTTTCATTAAGGGTGTATTTGGAGGCATCTTATTATTAAAAAAAAAACCCCCACCAAATAATGAAAAAATAAATGCAATGACAAATTGATTAAAATATATATATATTGATAATTGATTGGGATTTTTTTTTAATAAAATAAATGCATATTTGCACATGATAAGGGTAATGATTTCTTATAAATTTTAAATAAAAGAAATAAAAATACCACCATTGTATTGTAAGATTTGAGTATAATTTTAATATGTGTAAATTATATAAGTTAATAAGTTTAGTATAGCTTTTTAATGGAAAATCATTAAAAAAGGGCCTTAAATATCTTAAAATGACTAAAATGGTTTGATTAATCCAAATTGAACTAGAAGAATAATTGTATTAAATATGTATAAAAGTGTAGAAATAAAATGATTGAAAATTTTATATTAATGAGTATTGAGTTGTGGCTACAACCAATGCCAACTATTTCTTAAAGTAAAAAGAATGACGCAACAATGTCTAAAGCATATAAATGATGTGCAAAATGAAAAATTTGGAAATATCAGCCTATAAAGTGATTATATTAGAGATTGAATCTCAAATGAGGGTAATTATCATAAAAAAAAATTCAATTTCAAGATATTTGGTTAGTAATACTACAAGTAAAATGAATTTAAACCCTTACTATTAGACACTAATAATAGGAATCCAACTTTAAATTTGTAAGCTCTAATTACAAAGTTTAATAGATAAAAATAAGTTATTATTATGTGTCGATTCAATACTAGTAAAATCTATTCAAATTTTAAAAACTAGAGTGATCTATTGCATGAAAAGAATGAGTTTTTATACTCTTAATGGAGTTTATTATTTTAAATATCCAAAACAATGGAGATATCATGGAAACTCTATCAATATAAACATAATAGTGAGGCTGCTTCAACAAGAAGAACCAGAGTCTTTTTTGTAATTATTTATGAAAAAGATAAGCACATGACTATAATAGTATTAAAAACAATTATAAATCTCTAATAAAGGATTAAGTATTATGTGTTATATCCTTAATTTTAATACTAAGAATTGAGATTTAATTTTCGGATACTATCAACTCTATTAGAATTTTAAAGTATATATAATAATTGAATGTTTAAACTGAAAGATACTTTTTTTATTTATAATATTTATTTATGCAAAAGATTAAAAGATTAAGCACCGGTATTTAGGGATGTCAATGGGTAGAATATGAGTAGGGTAGAGCATTTCTCATCTCCATTCTTAAATTTTTATATTATATCAATCCCCATACCTATACTCAATGAATATTTTAAATTTATTATTATCTCTATCTTTGAGGGTATTTAATGGGTATGGAGATTACCCATACCCATATCTTTAAAAAAAATTAAAACTAAAATTTATTTTTTAACCTTTTTTTAATTTTTATCTTGTATATTTAAATAAAATTTTTTATAAATATATGTTAATATATTTTTTTCAATAAAAATATATTAATTCTAATTAATCTAAAATAATAATTTATATTATTTAATAAAAAATCTATTTACTAAATGTATATAAATATATATAAGGTACATGTATAGGATGGATACTATATTATTAAATAAAATTTAAAATCTTAAACATCTACATCTACATCTACATCTCCATCCCTATCTCTATCCCCATCTCCATCTCCATAATATAATATATATAACCATCTCTATTTGGATAAAAAAAATCGAGTTTCTCAGTGGATATGAGTAAGATTGATATTTTTACCAATATTTTAAACAAGTAAATGATTATTGATAGTTTAGAATGTGGTGTATCTTACATTAAATAAAAGATTTATTATTAATGAATATGTTTAATTTTTATATTAATTTTATTTATATTCTGAATAATTATATTTAAACAGAAATAATTATTATATAATAAATAATCATAACTATTTAAATATAAATAAATAATTATTAATATAAATCATACTTATATAAATAGTTATAATTATTTAAATAAAAATTTATATTTATTTATTATAAATAGAGCTTTTAATGTAATCATTTTTAGTACTTTTATTCAAAGAATTTCAAAATTTTATTATATACTAAAAACATAAAAACTTTTACAAAACCATTCGTCCGAAATTAAAATTTATTTTTATTTTATATATATATATATATATATATATTTTTTTTGTTAGCACCCTAGCGAGCAACTTTCTTAGCGCCTATCTTCAAATCTTTATCGGTTAGGCCTGACTGTTCCGTCTGGAATCAGGTTCCGGATGAAAGTCTTTTCTTCCCTGTTACTGTTATATTTTATTATCTTAATTTTATTCACCCTCTCTTTCTTTGTAATTCAAGCTACAAGCTCGTTTTACTATTCTTCACACTTGCTTCAACTCTCGGCCTGATCTGTAGAACTTTTCTTTAGAGTTAAGGCATGCTCTGAAGTTTGACCCTTTATTGGAAAACTGGCAGACAAGTTTTCTAGCTTTTTGTTACCGCTCGAAACTCAAACGTTGGTTTCCTTTAAAAAAGAAAAAGAAAAACTCAAAAGTTTGTTTGTGCATAGCAAAGCTGCAGAGGGACCGGACTGAAGCCCTTTTCGTTTTTGTTAACTTGAGCCTAAACTCTTTGTCTAGTCCAAATAAAAGGTAAATAAACATCCAAAGTCCTAGAAATGAATAGAAGGTGGCAATAGCAAATGATTGATTGGGCCCACCTCATCTCCTTGGCCTTTCATTACGCCTATTCAAGAAACAACATAACCGGAAAAAAACTTTTTTTCCTTGATTTTTTTATTCCCTATCCTCCTTAGCTCCGAAGGCAGTAAAGTGTGATGAGTCAATATAAAAACATTCGTCTTTGTCAAAATTATATCAGCTCAAGAAAGCTTATCATTGGAATCGAACGGTAAAAGTGATAAAAGTTCTCAAATTTAATTTGATTTTTTTTAAATATTACATAATATTATAAAAATTTAAAATTTAATTTGAATTCAAATCAAATTTTTATTTAATTTAAATCCAATCGAATTAAATTTTATTAATTAAATTTAATTTATTATTTTTATGTATTATTTTAATATAAAATTTTAATATATTTAATAGATTTTGATATAAATTATTATTTTTATTTTATAAAAATTTGAAATATATATAAAAACTAAAAAAATATAATTATATATATTTTTATTTTTTATATTTTAATTTAAAATTTATTTCAAATTTAATATATATTTAATATTCAAATACGATTCCAATCAAATAAAAAATCACTTCAAATTAAATTAAATATTACAATTTCAAATCAATTTTTAAATTTTTCAAAATTTTTTCTTAGCTTATAAAATAGGAGGTGAACCTCAAACTGAATTTTTCTCCTTCGTATTCTGTTTATTTTAGTTTTACTTACCCTTTTCAGTCTTCTCTCATTAATTTTTTGAACAAACTTAATTGATTTGATTGTAGATGCACATTTCAGAATGTAATCTCCAACATTTCTCCATCTTCCTTCATTTGACAATTCTGACACAACTTTCAATTCAACTTCTAACAACACAATGTCAAATTCCTTCAACACTTTCATTTCGATAGAATAAGGTTTAAGCATCTTAATTAAAATATCAAACCTTTACTTTGAATGTTCAACTAAGAGTTTCATTTTCAACTTTATTACATTGCAAAAGTGATTGACTTCATTACTTCAATCGAGGTCAATCCTTTCCAATTTTTGTCTCATAAAAAAATAAAGAAATTTATTTAATTCGCACAAGAGGCTCAAACTCCAATAAAACTGCTGTTTTCATAGGAAAATGCTGATTCCACCGAGGGATATCCATATCCTTTCTTTTCCTGCACAGTGTCATTTATAAAATAATAATTTGGACAGATGACCACAGTAATTGGACGAATTATATATCGACAGTTTTGCAACCCGTGAATTAAATTAAATAATTAAATTAGGGGGTAGCAAATTCGATGAAAATAGAAGCAAAGAAAAATAAAAGGACGTGGGGCCCATAGAGAAACCAAAGACACAACTGTTTGACATAAAATCTGCCACCCAAATTCCAAATCATAACCGTTCAAAGGCCTTCATGATGGTCCCCATCTTCCCTTATTACAACCCACAATTTGTCTTCTTCTTCCTCTTTCCTCTGTAGTTTAAAGAGCATCCAAATCCAACAAGAAAAACAAAAACCTCAAACTAAACTCAAACTTGTTTTGGTGTTCAAGGTTTGAAAGGAAAGACTTGGGTACCTTTCTTTTAGTTTGATTTGCTTGTTAATGGAGAAAGAGAACAAGAAGATAGATGCAGCAGGTTTGGAAGGGTTTTCTCCTGTCTCTACAACTAGGATTTTCTGGAATTCCAGGAAAAGATCAGGTAGTGTTACTTCTTTTTCTGTAATGATTTGACAAAATACCCTTCAACCTATTTCTTAAAATTCATTGGTCTCCATGGTTTTGAAAATTGTAAGACTCAATTAAGCAAGGGAGGAGAGCTGAAACCCTGTTTTTATTTTATCTTCATTCCAACTTAAATTCATTTATTACTTTTGTTTCTTCAAGTTTTTGGTTGACAAAAAAAAAAAAAGAAAAATTTGATTAATTGAGGTTAGAGTAACATTTTATGGGCCATGGTGATATTATGAATTCAATGTTAATGAGTTGTGCTGCTGTGTTTACTTTGCTGGTACGTTAATATACCTGGTTTGGTTAAAAGTTATTGGTTGGCTTACCAATCTCTCTTCCTCTCTCATTATCATATCTTTTTCTTCTACCATATGTCTTTATTAATTTTATTATTTCATTTTCTTGTCTATTTCTGTATTATCTAAACCAGCAGGTTTTTCTGCCTTTTTGTTTGACTTTGGACGGATGCCATGCCAACATCTTTTTATTGCTTAATCATCCAGCTAACCATCACTGTAGTCTACTACTAATTTTTAAAACGTTGCAGTTGCTTTGCTTATAAAAAAGATTGAGAAACCTCTAGTAAAAGTTTAGGAAAAATTAACTAGTCCAACTACCTCTTATCATTTCTTTAACTCTAGAGATCAGACTATAGTTAGTTACTATTAGATGATTGTCATCTAAAATTTTGATAAAAAAAAAAGACAAAAAACCTTTGAAAGAAAAATCGATTGAGCTCCCTTGTTGAGGTCATCCTTTCAATGGTTTCAGTAAAAAGAAGAGCTTTTGAAAAAAAAAATGAAGAGTTGCAGCGACGTAGATTTGTCATACAAGGTTGAATTTTCCTCCACCAGAGGTGGCCCCTTAGCTGGCATGCCGAAGGTGCTTTCAACCTTGTAGTGACTTATGAATCCTGCTTATTAAAAGGTGATTTGTATTGATTTCAAGAGAAGCCTACGTATATATAAGCGACTTCCCGTAAATTTAGACTCTAACCTTTGGCTAAGTGTGGCCACCTTCCACATACTATTGGATTAGATACATTGTTCATAATTTATGTTATAGATTAGAAATGTATCCATAGTTGCTTGGAACTAGAATGTTTAACTTCTTTCCGACAGCTAGCGGGAGGAATGTAGACAAGGTAACAGAAGAGACTGCTAATATGATACCCACCAAACAGGAAGAAGAAACTCCTGATCAAGAGAATGTGCCAGATTCAGCAACAGCTTCTGAACTTTCTGGGCGCCGGAAGGCTCTCTTTGAACCACTGGAACCTATAAAAAATGTCAATGGCCGGCGACCATCGGCTGAATCTTTACTTCCCCCACCAGACTTTGATGCTGCAAGCTATCCAAAGGGCTGGTTGATTGGAAAGAAGAGGAAGCTGGTAAATGTTGATGTTGTTGAGAGCATGCGAAGGATTGCAGTCCAGGAAATGAATAGAAAGGTCTATTCCTAGACTTAATCTCCTCTTAAAACACTAGAATTTATACATTTACGGAAGTCACACAGGCAGGAGAGAAATTATTAAATAGACGTTTCTTATCTTGTCAGCCAAAGGCTTAAGAAATCAAGATGCTATAAATGAAAGCATAAAAAATCCCCACTGTTATTACTTGCGTATGGCCTCTTGATATATTGGGTCTGCAACTGATATAGTAAGAGAGGTATATAGGGTAGGCTCTCTGAGCATATGCAGACACATTTTTAGGGATGGTGCAAGGTAACAGCAAAAAACCAAATGGTTAATTTTTGCAGGACCGGGAAATTGATGGCTTAAATGAGCAGTTGGAAGAGGATGCAAGGTGCCTAGAACATCTGCAACTTCAACTTCTACAAGAGAAAAGTAAACGGTCAGAGGTAGAGAGAGAAAATACAATGCTTCAAGAACAGATATCCATGCTGATGAATCTGTTGCAGGAAGGTGATGAAGCTCCAGATGAACCTTAAAAATTCATTTAATTGTAGTTTGTTTATTCTTTTGTAGAGTTGTTTGAAAGTAGTAAGAAGACAGGATTCATGCAAATATACACACATGCATGATCGTGAGGGGAGAAATAGGTGAAGTCATCATTGTAGTATGTTTGGCGTTGTGAGTGGCTTTCTTATGCTTATTATTGCTTGTAAGTTGTAAGTAAGTCTCAAATCTTATGCCATATCATCTAAATAATTTGTTTATCTGTTAGCTCTATTCAACTACAAATGCCACATATTACCCAAAGTAGCAGCTTGTGCATTTCACACTTATTTGTGCATTTGAAGTCTCAAATCTTATGCCATATCATCTAAATAATTTGTTTATCTGTTAGCTCTATTCAACTACAAATGCCACATATTACCCAAAGTAGCAGCTTGTGCATTTCACACTTATTTGTGCATTTGACCTAAGGATTTAAACTCGTTGGTAAATATTATTTTTAGTAAACATTTATTCTCCAAACATTAAATTTTTCATTTTATTTTTCTTTAATTTGGGGAAGAGAGCATTCAAAGTTCAAATCCAACTTTTTTTTTAGCGAAGAGTACCCGCATTTATCATTGAGGCAACTACTTTAATAGCCAAAATAATAGATTTTGATTCTTTAAAAAAGGGGTTAAAACCAATGAGTTAATGAGTTTTCTTTGATAGATTCATGAATGTAAAAGTTGGGATAAAATTTTAACACAATTGTCACATCTGTGCTTACTGCAAACTTCTAATCCCACCAAACGTTGCCAGCAAGGAAACATGTTGGATTAAATCAAATCTTAATCCTAGCCCTTCTAAGTTGAATGGCCACGGAAGAAAACCATCTATAACTCCTAAGCTTACATTTAAAGATCGCAGCATTTATTCCAAGTTCCAACAAGCTTCTATTGGCCTAATTAAATGCACCACGTACAAGAACAATCATTCTTGTCCTTATCGTTTGATTGTGTCTATTACATCATGCATGTGCTGACATAGCAGTCTGATCAGTCATTTTTGTGACTTGGTAGCATTCAGTATTTTCCCCTCAAGCCATATTCAGCTATTGCATTTATACAGCCAGTTGATCATCAAGGCGAAAAGGTAGTTGGTGACCAAAAGGAGCAATATAATTTTCCTCCCAAATTGAACGACTAAATATTCTTATGCCATTAGACATAGAAAATATATACAAACATGGCCAGAAGAGTTTCACTAATATTTACAAAAGGTAGTATGAAGAACACCAAAAAAAGGTTCTAGTTTGAACATGGATTCATCAGCACGGATTTCAAAATCCTCTCTATCTTTAAGTTTAGTTAGCAAACTGCAACTATTCTTCTTACTCTTGTAGAAGAAAAGGCTTTAGGTTTATCATTATATGGCTTCAGTTGAAAAAACCTTCAGTAGTGAAGCAATCCAGTGAAGATTAAGAAGAAGATCCCCTACGTCACAACTTAATTGTGACTTAAAAGAACTGATAGAAAAGATGCGAGAAGAGAATAGAATTTACAGAAAGAGAGAAGAAGAGTATATAGAATAGAGGGGAAAAATAACTTTTTCGTTCATATCCTGGAAAGTACAGGACCGGTGCTAATATAGCATTACACATGCCCTTACTCTCGCATCACAATAACAGAATTCATAAAAGTCATAAACAAATACTGACAAAATAGATGCTGCTCCTAACAGATTCTATTGACAGCTTTCTACACCAAATTCTATGCAAATGAGATAACGATCTACTGCCACATCACTTTTGACTGCTGCACCATTCTCGGATGCTGCCAATTCAGCTGCTTCCAACTCTGTAACCATCTCCTCACTGTTGATGCCACCTTCTTGATCATTTTTCAGTATCTTGTTGCTACTTGTTCCCTCAATAATCATCACACTGCCTTCTACTTTTGCTGATCCTTGTCCCCAAGGATCAAATGATAGAATTGAGATTTGACAACATAGTAATCTTCCCAAATAGCATTTTTAGGTCCCAAGTTTGACCAAATAACTAACAATTGAGTCACAGCCTGATTATACCTTTTAACTATTCTCTTATCAATAGTTGCAGGATATACTAGGGGTTTACCATCATCATTCACCTCTGGTGGAGCAATACTAGGCAATGTCTTATTTCTAACTTTCCTCTTCAACAAACTTATGTGGAACACAGGCTGAATCCTTGCAGTAGAAGGTAGCTTCAATTTACAAGCTACAAAACCAATTTTGGCTATAGTATTTAAAAGAAAGCTTCAAAATTTTCTTAAATGCTAGTGAATAATGCCTATAAGGTTGTAGCTTCAAATACACTTCATTACCAATGTTAAACTCCCTTTCACTGTGCTTTCTATCTGCATAATACTTCATTAGCTGTTGAGCCTTCTCTAATTGGTCCATCATTAGTCTACCAAACTGTTCTCTCTCGAGTTCTTCAATTGATTACACTTTTGCATAACTGCTAATCCCAAGCCATCTTAGGAGGTTTATTGTCAGATAATGCTTGAAATAGAGACATTCCTAAAGTAGAATGGTAACTAGTATTATACCACCATTCAGCTAATGGTAACCATTGAGCCTAATTCCTTCGTTTAAAAAAAAACATGCACCTTAACCCTATGTTTGGATAAATATTAATAAAGGAAAAGAAAGGAAAGGAAAGGAAAGGAAAAGAAAGTTTTTTAAAAGAAAGGAAAGGATATATGTACCCCTTGTTTAAATAATTAAAATTAATAAAAAAAAGAAAGGAATTTTAATAACCACTGTTTGGATAAAGAGTGAAAAAGAAAGGAAATGATTCATTATAATAATTTTTTCTAATTATAACCTTTCATTGCTTGTAATTTTAGAGCATTCCTCTCCAAAAATACTCAATTATTGTCTCATTTCTTTGTTTATCCATCTATACAACAAAATATTAGCAATAATTATTATTATCATAAAAATATATACACTAACACTTGTATGAAAGAAAATAGTATTAAAAAAAATTGAATTAGAGAAATTTGAGATATGAGGCATTTAACAATAAATCATACATACTACAAATAATAATACTAATATTTATCAATTTCTCACATATATTAATTATTATAATACTAATATTTACCAATTAAGTTTATGTGAAAAACGTACTGATATGTTTATAATCATAGTCAAGTTAATTGTGTCTCAATGAAGCATTTCCTTTTTCCCATTTTTCTTTCTATAATGTCCTGGAATTGCTGACATCTCAAATTATAATATACTACATATAAAAATAAAAAATTTTGAGCTAGTTCAATATTTCATAAACTTAAAAAATATGTCTATTAATATTAAATCATTTATCAAAATTAAATAACTAAAAATTATAAAAAAAATTTATATTGGAAGAGACAAAGTGAAAGTTACTTGCAAAAAGAGATGACTTTGAAAACTAATAGGAAGGATTAGGATTTTTTTGCTAGGCTTTGGTATTAATAAAAAGATGGATATAATAGTCTTTTTATAAAATAAAATTTTTTTAACTTTCCTTTCTTTAACTTTTTCCTCAAATTGGAATATTAAAAAAGTGAAAACTATAAGGGAAACCAAGGGTTATTAAGTTTCTACCTCTTTTCTTTCTTTTAAATTAAAAGTTTATCCAAACAAATGAAAGGTTTTTCTATTTCCATTACTTCTTTTATTTTCTTTTTCGCTTCCCTTCAATCCAAACATATTGTAAATATTGCTTTAAGCACTAGTTCACTCTCTCAGTCTGATCATCTAATTATGGATGATTGGTTGTATTGAGATGATCATTGGTTCTTAGTAATTTTCTTCCAAGAATAAACTTGTGAATGTTTTATCCCTATAAAAAATGGTTGGCTTGAGTGTATCATGCAATATATGAACATGGTTTAAATAAAGTTTAGCTATTTCAATGACTATGACAAAGTGATCCAAGGGCAAAAAATGAGCATACTTAGTGAATTTATCCATTATAATCAGTATGCAATTGAACTTTTAAAAATGTGGTAACCCTTCAACAAAGTCTATTGTAATTATTTTCCAAGCTTACGTAGGAATGGGAATTGGTTATAATAAATAAGGGTAAGCTACATGCTCATCTTTGTTCTTTTAACAGGTGTCACATTGTTGAACATAGATTTGTACTTGCTTCTTCATGTTTGACTAGTAAAAATAGAGCTTAACTTTGTGATATGTAGCTTAAGTTCCTAAATGACCTTCTTGGAATCATCTAAAGCTTGTATATTCTTTTCTCTTAACTAGCCATGATTTCCAACATAGACCTTTACCTTAAATCTCAACACGCCTTCATAAAAAAATAATGTGATTTATAGTTTGGCTAAACAACTAACATCTTGATTTGTTCTTATAAATTGGTTCTTTATTAAGGTGAAGAAATATTGCAAACAAGTAAAATAGGATGTGCTGGGAGATGACAGAGAGGAAGATTTGAGCAAATCTTGAAGTATTAAGTGTAGTGGCATGCAGTGGTAGATGGTGAAGCAAGGCTAAATAAAAAAGAGAATGAGATTGATAAAAGGTTTAAGAAGAAAGAGTTGCACAGAGAACTAAGTAAATTTGGCAAAAGTTTCCCTAAAAGTTTCCCAATAAATTGTAGAAACTTTTATTTATAGGGTTTCAAGAATAAAAATTACATATCTTAAGTATTGAATAAGAATAATGGTGAATAATGAAAAATTGACTGTTACAAAAAAGTATTAATGTATTGATTAATGGAAGTCTAATTAGCTTTTAGTGATAAGTATAATAAATATAAAAGTTCATTATCTGTTTTAAAAGGAGAAGCACTTATACTTTAGGAAAATATTAAAAGAAAACCTCTTAACTATTTTCATATCTAATCTACCATGCCAAACTCTCCGAAACATCCCAATAATAGAATTAGCCCAAAAACCCTACCATATTCATGGGTTATTTTCACTTTTTTTTTTTCAATAAAGTAACATTCAGGGAAACATCTTTTGTGAAATAACTCTTAGTGAAGCAATTTATGTTTTAAGAGTTTTTGGTAAAAGTGTTGCTTTTGTTCTTTGAGAAAGTTATTTCGAGATCAGTTGTTTCATGAAAGAGTTGTTCCTTAAAATAATTGTTCTGTAAATAACTATTTTGTAAAATGGTTGTTCTATGAATAGCTATTCCGTAAAATAACCTTCACTGAAACAGTCTTAATACCTGTTCTGACTTATTCTCAATTTTAATAATTTTAGAGAAATTTAAAAGAATAAAATATTAGTAACCAAAATCAACTATGTACATTTCACTCTCTACATAAGAATTCTTAGTACAAGAAGTTTTCATGCACTA